GGACACAGAGTAAAGGAAGCAAAAAGCATTAGCTGAATGTAATAGGTCAATCCTCATCTAAAATATCAACTATAAGACATTCATAGAACAATTGGTTAAATTTTGTACGTAGTGAAGATAATAGTTGCAATTCACTCTAGTAGAATTAGTAATATTATTGTCAATATTAATGGTTACTGTTAATAAAAATTAAAGTAATTATTTTAGTTATGGTCATGGTAGGGGTAACAGGAGTTATTGTCTCTTAGAAATACAAATAAAATCATAACTGTATGATAAAAAAAAGATACATATGGGGGCCAACTCTGTGGCATAGCGGGTAAAGCTACCACCTGAAGTGCCAGCATCCCATATGAGCACCAGCTCAAGTCCAAGCTGCTCCACTTCTGATCCAGTTCTCTGCCAAAGTGCCTGTGAAAGCAGCAGACGATGGCCGAAGTCCTTGGACCCCTGCATCCACATGGGAGATCCAGTAGAAGCTCCAGCCTCCAGGCTTCAGAACAGCCCAGCTCCAGCAGTTGTGGCCACTTGGGCAATGAACCAGTGGAGGGAAGACTTCTCTCTCTGCCTCTACTTCTCTGACTCTGCATTTCAAATAAAAAATATAAATCTTTAAAAAGATACATATGCGATCTAACTTGATTAACAGTATGTGTAATTGTTGAAGCTGAATTCTAGACACATAGAGAAGTTTGCTATGTTAATCTCTCTGCTTTGGTATTCTTTTGAAAATTTCCATCATAGACAGTTAAGCAAAAACCAATAAGCATAATTTCCAGGAAAAAAAATTAAGCACACAAAACAAATCAGCAATAAGTCAATGAATTCACAAACAGCTTCCAGAATAATTTACATGTCCCAAGGCTGAGACAGGGTAGAGCCTAGAAAGATAATAATAATAAAAAGAAACTGAAATAATAAGTTTTGTGAGCTGAAACAGAGGTGGTAAGGTGGTGATGCCAACAGTTTTGAGAATCAAAGGGAATCAGGGAATGTGCTCTGAGGAAGGAAAACTGAAAATAAGTCTAAGTGTAATCTTATATTTAACCCTGAGAAGTCAATTTGCAAATAAGCCATAAATTTAGAGGCTTTTTAAAAAATTATTTCTTAAGCAATTTATCTTTCATGCCTCATTAAAAATATTCTCCATAGCTTTTTCCCCTTTCTTGTTAGTGGCGACTCTGTTAGACAAGCCTCAAATTTTGCTCATTGTACCGAGAAATGAAAGCCACAATGCAGCATTGGAGCTGGCAGCAGTGATGTCAGGACAAGTTCAAAAGAAGCCCATCACTTGAGTAAAAATTTATAGCCTTGCTGTGCTGTGCTGTGAATTTCAGCTCAGGGCCAGAAAGAGATTTATCAAAGGAAAATAGCAAGGTGTGTGGAAATAGCAAGTGCAAGTTTTAAAAGCCTTCATGAACCAGAGTAAATCTTGTGACTCTTGGTTTCACCTCTGAAACTTGAACTTCCAGGTGTAATTATGGATTAACATGTGACATGTTGTGTAGGTGGAAGAAAGTGAGACAGTAAGAGCACATGTCTCTAATAAAGCTAAGAAGGCGCCATCACATGGCTTGTACATGCAAATACCCATGGGGACTAGACCAGCGCTCTTACTGGGATGCTAGCTGGGGCTAGACTCAGTATTCAGGAGCAAAAATCACCGGTAGGAATTGGAACAAACCTGGATCGTGTGCTCTTTCAAGGAGGCGCCCCTCCTATGGTTCAGTTCCAGCCAACAGTTATCAGGAGGAACACAACCTCTTGGACAGTTTTTTTATATTTCAGGAACATATAGGAATCTATATGTAAAATCACCTAGTTTTGTAATACTGTCAATACACAAGGATTTATAAAGTCTCTGGGGCTAATGGTAGCCTTCCAGAAAAATGGGGCCTGTAGACCACACTTTGCCTGAGGAACATATGCCTTGATCTACATACAGTAAATGTTCACCCTTTCTCCCCTTGTATCTTTTTTATATTTGTTCCAGAACAAGGTGCAATATTTTTTGTCCTCACTCAGTTTATTGTCTTACGCCCTACAATCACATCTCACAGCAATTTCTTCCCTTAATTGTGCTGTGGACTTCTTAAAACACGCTGCTTCTGAATCCCTTTTTGTCAAATATTTTGTATAGGAGTATAAGAGAACGAAAATAAAGTGATGGGGAAGCAGTTGGTAGGGAGAAACTGTGGACCAATCTGTGAATGTGTGGAATGTGTACACTTCCTTTTCTTGAGCTGACTGTACTTGGTGCTGGTGAAACCCAGCTTAACGTTTCATTTTTATACGAACTTTTAAAGAGTGAACAATACCCAAGATATTTCTCTAACATTGAAGGACTTCTTGATCACTGTGTATAACTTATTTTTATGGATAAAAACTATTTTTTAAACACTAATGTGATTGTTCTATTGGTTAGCTAATAAGACCATATTTATATAACATGGCAAGACAGATAGATAGCTCTCATCTCAAAATTTGGCCTGACTACATATCTCAGTGAACAAAACATAGTAAATCTGGCATTGCCTGGGTGACTATTTATTGAGACTCCAAGGACACAGTGATTTTAAAAAAGCAGTCAGGCAGGGGGCCAGGCCAGCACGTGGTACAGTGGTTACTTTGCCTCTTGGGACGCCGCATCCCATCCTGGATTTTCTGGTTTGAGTCTCACTCTGCTTCATATCCTGCTCCCGGCTACTGTGTAGCCTGGGAGGCAGTAGATGTTGGCTAATGTGCTTGGGTCTCTGCCTGCCATAGGGGAGACCTCAACTGGACTCTGGACTTTTCAGCCTGGCACAATTCCGGGTGTTGCATGCATTGAGACAATAAACTAGTGGATGGAAAATGCTTTTGTGTCTGCATTTCTGCCTTTCAAATAAAATGAAAATAACTTTTTTTTCCTTAGGAAAAAAAAAAAAGGAAATCCACAAACACATGGGAGATACAGGATATTATAGAGCAAGGATTGGGCTGGGAATTAGAAATTAGGTTCCAGGCACAGCTCTGTTGCCAACAAGCTGTAAAACCTCTGTGCTCCTGAGTTCATTATTTATTTACTATTTGTACTGTGCCTATTTCCAAAATAGATTGGAGGTGGCTTTCAATAAAAACCACTAATGTATCAGAACTCCTTTACAAGGTAACAGCCCAACATAAAAAAGGAAAGATAGTTATAGTAGCAAACTAAGCTAAGGGAATCTACTGTAATAGAGCACAAGAAGCTGCTATGAGTCTCAGGGCTCAAGTAAAGCAAGAAACAAGCTGCATCACTAGAGTCATCCACAGTTTCAGCTTTCTTATTCCAAAACGGGTGGGAAATGAGAGGCTGATGTAAACAGGTTTAAGAGCTTGAGCAGGCTCAGATGTTTCTGTATTAAAGTGACAGGTTAGTTTCTGAAACCGTTTCCTCAATTGCTACACAATTATTATTACAGATGTTAAAGGAAAATTTAGGGTCAAACCATTCTCTCAAAACCTAGGGGACTTTGTAACCAGAAAAGCATAGAAACAAATAAAAATGCTAATGAAAATGCCAGCATGGTTTACAAGGATTGTTAAACTCCAAATAAGTGAAGGCATGCTATAGGACTTCAAATATTTTTGTGTTAAAAAGGGAGGTGGAGGCCAGCACCACAGCTCACTAGGCTAATCCTCCGCCTGCGGCACCGGTACTCCGGATTCTAGTTCCGGTTGGGGTACCGGTTCTGTCGCAGTTGCTCCTCTTCCAGTCCAGCTCTCTGCTATGGCCGGGGAGTGCAGTGGAGGATGACCCAAGTGCTTGGCCCCTGCACCTGCATGGGAGACCAGGAGGAAGCACCTGGCTCCTGGCTTCAGATCAGTGCAGCGCGCCTGCTGTAGCAGCCATTTGCGGGGTGAACCAATGGAAGGAAGACCTTTCTCTCTGTCTCTCTCTGTCTAACTCTGCCTGTAAAAAAAAAGGGGGGGAGGTGGAAGCTGAATATATGTTAAGAGAAATCTATATGGAAAGGGCGAGACTTATGGGTCCAAGGACAAAATGTACGGAGATCAAGGAAGAGGTACTATGAGAACTTCCATAGAGATCAGGGGCCAAGGACACTGAGTGAGGAGACACAGGGAAATAGTACTGAATTCCTCAGCAGGCTGCTGTGTCCACATATGTTCACATGCTTTGAGTTCTGTTATTATTACTTAATGGGGCCAACTGTTAAAGTGCTGGAGTAGAAATGAACCAACAAACTTATCACATTACACTGACATTGCATCCCTATTTGTCAATCAGTATGAAATATTTTACATTAGGGAAACACATTGTGGCAGAACAGACTCTATAATGCTCTCTGGCTCCAAATAAAAATGTACAGGTAAATATAAGGAAAGGCATCTGTGACTTAATGTATTGTGTTGTATTGTGCTGAACATAGCTGGAGTGCCCAGTTTTCATAATATTAACTTGGTTGTCACTGTGTATAGGACCAAAAGCCTAGTGATGTAAACCCAAATAAATGACAGCCACAAGAGATAAAGGTAAGGAGGTAGCGAGCCAAAAGAGAGCTGAGATCACCAGTCCCTCCCTATTCCACTCACCCTCTGCTTATGCATCAGCTGAGGCAGCCCCAAACCACTATTTTCACAAAACCACTGCCCAGGACTGGCACTGGCTGAAAACGACCAGTATGACCACTGACTGTGTCCCTACAGTTACCTATAGCTGATTATAATAACAGTACAATAAAAACATCATGGTGGACACTCCTCCTCCCACAATGCACTTAATACAAGGACATTTCTGAGACTTCCTTAAAAAGGCAACAATGTGGACCATACTCAAACCCCACCTTCATGAGTACTTCATTGCTCTGTTCTCCGAAGATCATAGAAAGGGATAAACCCAGACCTCGTCTGCACAGCTCACTCCAGAGCAGGCCTGCACTCCCTCTTGACTGTACTTCTGCTTTGCCAGTAATAAATCTCATTTCTGTGCTAACTTCTAGTTATGTCTTGTCCTCAAGTTCTTTGCTGTATCAGAGAAAAGAACCTGGAAGCAGCCATTCGACAACAAGGGGGTCACCATCTTAAAGGACGACTGGAAGAGAGAAGATGGGTAATCTTTAAAACGCAAAGCGACTTGGTAAGTACATGAAAAATGAAGAGAATCATGAAGAAACTTATAGTGGCTATTGCACCAGATCAAATAAAGAAAGCCCATATGACCAAAACAGAGTCCACAGAATAAGTAAACAATAAGCCGCTTTGAGAAAAAAATGAAAGAAATTGTCCAGTTATTCTCACTTTGCGGGGATAAAAGTTGTTTCAATCTGCCTTTTCAACAAGGGGAAATTTTGTTCCCCAGAGGGTACTTGGCAGTGTCTGGAGAGATATAACTGGTCTGTACCAGTTGGAAAGTAGGACTACTGGTACAAACATCCTACAGTGCACAGGACAGGCCTCTAGAGAAAATATTGTCTGTCCCCAAATGGTAATACTGCCAAGCCTGAGAATCCCATATCAAGATGGAACTACTTTTGCTGCCTGGAGTCACTACTTTAAACAGATCCAGTACATCTTTCCTTGGGGCAATTTGCTCTGACCAACTCTGTTTCCCATGGCCTAAACCTAAGATGTAGATTTGTTTCCAATCTCCCACGTCATGGCCCTGAGGTCCATCTGGCTCCACTCACCTGATCCTCTAGTTAAAGCTTCATTCAACCTTAACATGTGTCTAATCTTCTTGAAGTGTTGCTATGGAACTTGTCTGTTTCTATGATTTAATTTAGTTTTGAAAGCAGAAGATCCTGCATGCCCATAGTGGATCTGACTGAAATGGGACTTTGTGTCGCTCCCCCATTCGCGGAGGAACGACACTAGACCCTGCAGTGTTCTTTTTGCTCGGCCCTTCCCGGGTTAGCTGCCGTCCCTCACTCATGGAGGAACGACGCCGTCCCAGGTTAGCTGCCGGCCCCTCCACCTCCGTGGAGGGGCAGCACCCCCCGCTGATTTCCCCGCTTCTGTGGAGGAGCAGCACACTGCCGGCCGGCTCTCTCAGGGGCTGCTCAGATGTTCCTCAGGTGTTCCTCAGATGTTCCTGGTGCATGTTGTCTCTCTCCTCCTTTATAGTCCTCTTCCACCAATCCCAACTCTGCTGCCCACACGCTGAGCATGCTGCTCTCCTCCAATCAGGAGCAGGATCAGCTCCTGCAGCTTATTGGTAGAACTGGAGGCAGCTGTGTAGAAGTTGTTTGGTCTCTCTCTCAGCGCCATATTGTGGGAGAGCAGATGCATAGAATAAGTCTTAATTCCAGTAACTTAGTCTAGTGTCAGTTTCTCCCCACAACTTTGTCATATGAAAGTCTACCCTTTCCCAAATGCCAATTCCAGCTGAGACTTCTCCTATAAGGGAACAATAGTATCTTCTTCCTGACATGATTCCTCACACTGACATTCCCCAGGGACTTCTGCCAAGTCATTAGATTCATTAACATTGCGCATTCTTCTTCCTCACCCTGGGAAGATTTGAGCTTTGTTCCCCTTCCCAGATCTTCACCAAACTAGAGCAGCCTTCAAAGACGCATCTATAGAGAAAGCAGACACTCAGAGGGTGGGTTCTGCCACGCTCCAGCCAGAGGCAGATGTGATCAGTGACTTCTCACTGACTTCTCACTGATGATGCAGAGAAAGAAGATATGCCGTCTACTCCTGTGCATGGTGAGTGTTTCTCATTCTGAGGACAACTGAGAGCTGTTTTGTGAATGTTACATTGACTCTTTCCCTAGGCTAAATGGGAAGCAACATGACACGACTGGAGATGTGCAGAGAAAGACTCCAAGATTCATCGAAGTACAATAAAGGGCAATTATAGCACGGTCATTTCTTAGCTGGCCTTTCAGAATATGTACATATGTGAGCAATTGCATGCAAGTCTGTGTGCAAGCAAAAATAAATGCAATTCACTTTTTTGCTTTTCACAGTGGAACCTGAATTTTAGAATTTATGCACTGTCGGAATTTCAATAAGTGAAAATGTCATCCTACTTCTAATGATATATTTGATTAAGCCATGTGGACATGTAATTGAAATTCCTCAAGACTTTATTGAGAGCAGTCAGTATATAAAATGCTTTTTCTACAGGTAACCAATATTTATGGAGTGCCTCCTATGTGTCTCAGACAGTATGCCAGCTACACATGTTATTTTATTTGATTCTCCTGTGTCCTAGAATTATGTGCTCATCAAATCATTCCAGAGAAATATATTTTTGCATCCCCTTCAAGTTAGATGATACCATGAGACTAAGCTGTGGTCAATAAAATGGAGACAAGAATAAGCAAAGCCATTTTCAGAGCTTGCCCTTAATAATATGTTCATTTTCACTTCCTCTCTTCCCTTCCCTTCCCTCTCCCTCTTTTCATTTACTTCATCTCCTTCTTCAACTCCTCTCCTCACTGTTTGGCTGGATAGAGAGGATCAGGGAAAGATTCTGAGGCCCAAAAGCGCCACCATGTGCCAGGAGGCCAGATTCCATGGGAGACAGCCACTGCACAAAGCAGAGGGTCATTATATTCGTTACTTATAACTGATTACTTTTCATGTAGTAAAGCTAGATAATGCTTAGATACTGACATTTTCTTGCTGTTTTTTCATAATTAATATGCCTAACACAGCAACTGGTAATTACAAACAGAATATTACTATAACACAGAACTTTAACATATGGTCTTTTTCTTAGAGGTTAAATGATAGGTGGTAAGGAACACCATATAGAGCTGAAAAGATAGACACTCATGCTCAGGGAAGATTTTATCTATTGCCTGCAATAGTGTACAAGGCAAACAACATGCCTACTGAGCCAATAGTTCCAATGGAAATAATTAGAAGAAAGATACTTTCAGTGTGTGTTGGATACTGTTGCCTACTTTGACAGGGTATTGTAAGAAAGATAAACTCGGGGAAAACTGGCTGGTTCCCAAGTAGACATGAAAGGGAATAAAGAGTCAGAAAGCAAGGGCCTTATTTCTAAAAAAATTTAGAAACACACAAACAATGATAGATACAACCAACAAGAGAAAAATAATTATTTTTTGAGAGGTAAACACATAGAGAAAGACAGACAGATTATAGAGAGAGCTCCTATTCACCCTTCCACTCCTGCCAAAACCTACAACAGCCCAGGCTGGAGGCCAGCACTGAAGCGCAGTGGATTAATGTCCTGGCCTGAAGCCCCTGCATTCCATATGGGTGCTAGTTCGAGACCCGGAGGCTCCACTTTCAATCCAGCTCTCTGCTATGGCCTGGGAAAGCAGCAGAAGATGGCCCAAGTCCTTGGGCCCCTGCACCCACGTGGGAGACCTGGAAGAAGTTCCTGGCTCCTGGCTTCAGATCAGTGCAGCCCTGGCCATTGCAGCCAATTGGGGAGTGAACCATCAGATAGAAAACCTCTCACTCTCACTCTCTGCCTCTCCTCTCTGTGTAACTCTGACTTTCAAATAAATAAATAAATCTTTTAAAAAAAGCCAAGGCTGAGCAAGACAGAAGCTAAAAGTTGAAACTCAGTCCTGGTCTCCCATGTGAGAGATAGCAAGCCAACTGCTTCACCTGTCACTGCTGATTTCCAGGATCTGCATTACCAGGAAGCTGGAGCCAGGAGGCAGAGGCAGCTACGAAACTTAGATACTCTGGTATAGGAGACAGGCATCTTAACCAGCATTTTTATTGCGAATCCAAATACCCACCCCAAGGAATGGAATTTTAAAAGATTTTGAGTGTCAACAGCCTATAAAAGTCTAAAAACAGTCACCAACTTAAAATCCACTGAAGTCTGACTGCCATCATTATCTTTAGACAGAAAGGCATAGAGTGAAGGAAACAACAGAACAAAGGAGATTTCAAATCTAAGTTTTGGAAATAAATACAAGTGTGAATCTTAGCACACAGCAGAAATTGTAACCAACGGATTACAGAGGGTGTGTGTGTGGTGCAGTGATCATGGTGCCACTTGGGATACCCACGGCCCATACTGAGTGCCTGGTTGGCATCCTACTCCATTTCTGATCTAATATTCTGCTTGTGTACATCCTGAGAGGCAGCAGGTGAATATTCAAGAAATTTGTCCCCAACCACCCATGTGAGTGACAAAGATTGAGTTTTTGGCTCCTGGTTTCAACCTAGCCCAGCCCTGGTTGTTGCAGGTATTTGAATATTAAACTAATAAATGGAAGAGCTCACTCCACCTGTTTTTCTGTAGTTCACATAACAAACAAACGTCAAGGATTGTATGTAGTGCTGTGTTTGAATTGTGTCCCTTCCCAATCCCTTGTCCCTTAGAATGTGGTCTTATTTGGAGATAGTATAGTTACAGAGGTAATGAAGTTAAAGTGAGGTCATCAGGTCAAGTCCAAATCCCATAAGACAAGTGCTCTTATAGGAAGGAGAAATCTGGGCACAGACTGGTACCGAGGGAAGACCTGTGAGGAGACAGGGAAAACCTGGCAAAGCCACCAGGGAATTCTCTGTGCTTCCTTTCTTCAGTTTCCAAGTGGCATAATCACTGGGATTAGCCTGTCTCTGCTCTCCCATTCTCCATTACGTGTGTGGCACAGAAGTAATTTAGGCCGTGGGGATGAGACCAAGAAGAGCCACTTCTAGTAATATGGAGAAGATAGCTCATGACCCAGAAATCCTGGTGGACACTGTGCCTTAATGGGACCTTGGGGTGTTTCCCTTCAGGTGGTGCCAAATATGAGGGCCATTCACAAATGTTGCAGGCAATGGAATTAAAAAATAAATGTATTTTGGTGCAGAAAAATTAAGAAGCCCATGAATAATTTTGTTTTATTCATAATATATATTTTCTAAGAACTCTGTGAAGATCTCCTATATGCATAACTTTCTTTTTTATTAATTTTTTGTAATGTGTTAGTGTTTAAATATTCTATTAACTTTTATTTAGTAAATATAAATTTCCAAAGTACAGTTTATGGATTACAATGGCTTCCCCCCCCCATAACTTCCCTCCCACCCGCAACCCTCCCATCTCCTGCTCCCTCTCCCATTCCATTCACATCAAGATTCCCATTTTTTTTTTTTTTTGACAGGCAGAGTGGACAGTGAGAGAGAGACAGAGAAAGGTCTTCCTTTGCCGTTGGTTCACCCTCCAATGGCCGCCGCGGCCAGCGCGATGCGGCCGGCACACCGTGCTGATCCGATGGCAGGAGCCAGGAGCCAGGTGCTTTTCCTGGTCTCCCATGGGGTGCAGGGCCCAAGCACTTGGGCCATCCTCCACTGCACTCCCGGGCCACAGCAGAGGGCTGGCCTGGAAGAGGGGCAACCGGGACAGAATCCGGCGCCCCGACCGGGACTAGAACCTGGTGTGCCGGCGCCGCTAGGCGGAGGATTAGCCTAGTGAGCCGCGGCGCCGGCCACATCAAGATTCATTTTCAATTCCCTTTATATACAGAAGATCAATTTAGTATATATTAAGATTTCATCAGTTTGCATCCACACAGAACATAAAGAGTAAAATACTGTTTCAGTACTAGTTATAGCATTAATTCACATTGAACAACACATTAAGGACAGAGATCCTACATGAGGAGTAAGTGCACAGTGACTCCTATTGTTGACTTAACAAATTGACACTCTTGTTTATGGTGTCAGTAATCTCCCTAGGCTCTAGTAATGAGTTGCTAAGGCTATGGAAGCCTTTTGAGTTCACCAACTCCAATCTTATTTAGACAAGGTCATAGTCAAAGTGGAAGTTCTCTCCTCCCTTCAGAGAAAGGTATTGCCTTCTTTGCTGGCCTGTTCTTTCCACTGGGATCTCACTCACAGAGATCTTTCATTTAGGGTTGGTTGGGTTTTTTTTTTTTTATTTTTTAATATTGCCAGAATGCCTTGGCTTTCCGTGCCTAAAATACTCTCATGGGCTCTTCAGCCATATCCAAATGCCTTAAGGGCTGATTCTGAGGCCAGAGTGCTGTTTAGGATGTCTGCCATTCTATGAGTCTGCTGTGTATCCCGCTTCCCATGTTGGATCATTATCTCCTTTTTTATTCCATCAGTTAGTATTAGCAGACACTAGTCTTGTTTATGTGATCCCTTTGACTCTTAGATCTATCAGTATGATCAATTGTGAACTGAAATTGTATACGCATAACTTTCAAAAATGGTTTGTACCCAAACAAACTTACCTAAAAATTCCATTTCCCATTAAGCTTTTTGAAGTCTCCTCCTATGTTCTCTGTGTTGAAGAATATAGCTAAGACATACTGCCTTTGGCTCCTGTTCACAAAGCCCATGAGACAGTGGGAATCAGGTGTGGTTTAAGGAATGTCATGGGAAATTATAGATTAATCTTTTGATTATGTCCTCTAAAAACCTCTTATAAATAGTTCATATAGAATCCTTTTCTCCTACAAAACATCTCTCTCCCTCCTTCCCCCTCTTTACTTTGTCTAGACAGATGAAGGATGTCCAGTGAAGAACTCCAAAGACTTAGGAGAACCCAGAACTACTAGAGAACATGAGAGGATTCCAGACCCCTTAGTCACTGCTTTAAAGAAAACCTGCCCAAGATAGGACATTCATGCTGGACTTTATGAGAGCACCAAATAATAAGTTGCACTTGGTTAAGGCATGCATTGTCAGGGCTTATTTGTTATTGCAGCAACCAGTGTTATTTATGCTGACTCACACTTCTCAATAACAAAGCAAAAAGGGCAATCGCAATAGCCTGTTCGTGAAGCTTCTCGAGGATTACTAAATTGCCCAAGGTTGTACAATAAATTAGCTGGTATGTGGAGGGTTAATCAAGTCATTAAGCCCCACACTGAAGAATCTTTAAATTATGTCCCTCTGCAAACACATAGGAAAGCAATCTTTTGGAAGCTTTGACAAAAGTGTTTGATAGTGCGCACACATACATTAAGTTTATATTCATTGTTTTTTAAAATTTGCATCCCTGTGATGGATCACAGTGATTTAAATGAATTAAGAAAAGGATAAAATGACTAATGTCAGAAAAACATTAGTTCACCCTTATTCCCACCAATTTAGAACAAGTATAGTGAATTATGAACATGAAAAAGAAAAAAGGGCTACTGAAATGTTAAATGGCAGTTGTTATAGAATATGTTTGAATAGAAAAATTACTAATGAGACAGTGTAGGTCTCACACCAGCTATCCAAATGCCAAGTGTCACTGAAATAATACAGCAGATCTGGGAGCTGGCAGCAACACAAACACCAGAGAACAGACTTGCACGGCTATGGAGAGAGCTGACTGAGCTAAGTGGGTTACCTGGAGATGGAGGCACGAGGCTCTCTTGGTTCACAACATGCATTAATATCCTAACGAGAAATCTAATCCCAAGATCCTTACCTTCTGACTATTTCCCAGGATGACTAATCATAAAGGGAATTAAGAAATGAAATACATTAGAATTATTGTCATTAGAGAAATCAAACTGTACTTGTTTAAGGAGAAAAATAACAACTGTAAGATTTTTCTTTCTACCAAGACTTTGCATAGATTTATTGACTAGTTTTCTTTGAATGTTGGAGTTATATCCAATTTTACTGACAATACATCATGATCAGACAGAATTGGGTTTTTTCCTTTCTACTCAGACATGATTTGGTGTTGACTACAGATGTGAACAACAGGTGACGTGACAAACAACCCTGATGTCACAGCAGAGAGAAACAGCAACCTGCAATTTTACTTCCCGTGAGTGTTCAACAAAGTGGGATTTAGTCATTGAAGGTCAATGTGTGGTCTATGTTAGACTTTACAAGATATTTCAGCCATTATTCTGACATCATGGGCAATCTTTTTGGATTTTATTCACTTCTTTTTCCTTTCTTCTCCCTCCTTCCCTGCTTTTTCTCCATCCTTCCTCCTTAATAGATGTGAAATACACTGCAGTTGATCTTTTTTTGTTGTTTTTTTGTTTGTTTGTTTGTTTGTTTTTTTTTTGACAGGCAGAGTGGACAGTGAGAGAGAGAGACAGAGAAAGGTCTTCCTTTGCCGTTGGTTCACCCTCCAATGGCTGCCGTGGTCAGCGCGCTGCAGCCGGCGCACCGCACTGATCCGAAGGCAGGAGCCAGGTGCTTCTCCTGGTCTCCCATGGGTTGCAGGGCCCAAGCACTTGGGCCATCCTCCACTGCACTCCCTGGCCACAGCAGAGAGCTGGCTTGGAAGAGGGGCAACCTGGACAGAATCTGGTGCCCCGACTGGCACTAGAACCTGGTGTGCCAGTGCCGCAAGGCAGAGGATTAGCCTAGTGAGCCAAGACACCGGCCTGCAGGTGATCTTAAAAGGAATTCAAATGCTCAGCAGCAACACAAACATCTTTTGTTTTGAAGGAGGAAAATATCTTCTACATTTCTAGGATGTGTAAACCTCTTAGGGCACACATCAACACAGGCAAAACAGGAGGCGTTTCCTTTGTTCATCTCCTTCCTTCCTCTACTCTCCCCTAACATAGTTTCTACTCCCATTTCCTGTTCTTGTCATGGTTCCAGTGACACAGATATGCAGTTTCTGCTTCTTCCCGCAAGTTCTGAGAAAATACATTTTCTGTCTTTGGATAAATCTTCTTTGTATAGTTTTTCACAACACATCCATGAGGTCTTTTCCAATCTTAACTTGTCCTTGGAGTTTATCTCCCTCCAGGCACAGAGGGCATCTTTGCTTGTACCCAGTGCTGTTCTTTCTGCCTGCCTCTCATGCTACACAGGTATCTGGTGCAGCGAGGTTTGTCTCACGCAAATCTGGGGTTATGTCTCAACTCTGCCATAAATTCATGATCCATAGACAAATTCATTAATCAAAACGTCACTGCTTTTTCTGCAAAACGGGAGAAATGTGACCTACCCCTCAGTGGGACGCTACATTACAGATCTATACATTGCAGACTGTAAGACATGGGAATTACCTATGGCAGACTGTGGCACACCATAGACGCTCATTGAACTTCAGCTCCACAGCAGCCCAAGCCGTTCTTTTCAACCTTGAGGTAGCCAGTATGAAGGTTTCTCAATTACTAATTTTTATATCCATAAATCCCTAGTTAATCAGCAGGGGGTCCTCTCTTTGTATTGCCTTAGATTTAGATAAAGGCTCTTATAGACCCAGGATATAAGGAAAGAGCAACTTCCTTCTGTCTGCCTGCCTAACAAGGATGAATGACTCTCTCTCTGTGGTTTATGGTGAACGCCTGATAATGCATCTCCAAGAGAAGCACTTAGCCGAATACCCATAAATATGGCTATAATGTTTATTCAAACCACTCTATTTGCAAGGCCAAGTATAGAAATGAAGGATGCAAACAGACAAAATGGGTCACTAAAATTAGCCTGTTCTGTTTGTGAGGCAGATAATAATACAGTGTGTTGTCTCTTAGTGCCTGTGTTTCAAGAAGCTTTAGTTGTGTAAGAAAGATTTATTGTAAGGATGCGACGTTTATTCTCTTCCACCTTAATGTGATGTCTGCTAGGCTGGGAATGCCAGTCATAGAGATGTATCACCCAAACTGTACTTTTTGGAAAGTCCTTTGCCTCCAAAGCTGTGATATCTGAATATCACAAAGGCAATGTACATTCCTTAATCGTACAAAAACACTGCATCTCTGTCCCCTAGCTGCCTGGCATCCTATAGAAATGGACCAGCACCCAGAGGTAAGGTCTCCCTTACAGAGAGACAAAAGAAAAGAGAATAATTATCTGACATGAGAGGGGAACTTGATTTAATCCATCTGGATCACAAGCTAAATGGAGGACAAACAGTTAAGGTACAAGAGGATTGGTTCAGGTTGGAGCTGCAGGGTAGCAGGTAAAGCCATCATCTGCAGTGCTAGCATCCCATAAGGGCACCAGTTCAAGTCCTGGCTGCTCCACTCCCAGTCCAGCTCTCTGCTAATGTGCCATGAAAGCAGCACAAGATGGCCCAAGTCCTTGGGCCTCTGCACCCACATGGGAGATCCAGATGAAACTTCTGGTTTGGGCCTGGCCCAGCCCATTGCTGCCATTTGGGGAGAGAACCAGAGGATAGAAACCCCCCCCTCCCCTGCTCCCCTCCCCCTGTCTCCCTCTTTGCCTCTGCCTCTGCCTCTCCCTCTCTACTCTAACTCAAATAAATAAAGCTAAAAGAACAAAACAACAGGAGGGTTGGTTTTACCTCAACAGAAAGAAGGAAGCAAAGTAAAAATATTAAGCCCCCATTGTATGCGAACACCTGTAACTAAACTTTTCATATTTCTCCTAATTCTTTAGCATTAAAAGCTGTGATTTTGCACTCGGGGTACAAGTAGATCAGAGATGTTTCCTCCTTGCTGTGGCCACTCAGCTAGCGAATGGCATGGTGAGGTTGTTCATCCCTGCTCATGATGGATCATCAGACTGATGCACTTCCCGCCCCATCACTGTGTCTCTGTCACCCCAGAGAAAAGCTGCAGTACATTGGCAGCCCAGTGGCTAAGAAGCACCTATCACCAGCAACAGGTGCACAGATCCTGCAGGATTAGAGCATTGAAAAGAAGCCCACCAAGGGGTGGAGGCTGAACTTCCACTGTATCTTTACCAAACTTCTTCTAAAACTGTATGGAGTGGCAGGTGTTCAGTCCAGCAGCTAAGATGCTGCTTGAATGCCTTTGTCCCACCTAGAAGCACTTGGGTTCACTTTGATTCTCAGTTCTGGCTCCAGATCCCAGCTTCCTGCCAATGCAGACCCTGGGAGGCAGCACTGATGCTTCAAGTGTATGGGCTCCTACTACCCAGAAGGGAGACCTGGATTGCATTCTCATGTCCTGGGTTCAGCCCAGCTCTGTCCTGGTCCTTGTCAGGATTTGGGATGTGAACCAGCAGATGGTAGCTCTCTGTCTCTCTAGCTCTTGAATCTTTTTTCTTTTAAATTCAAAAATGGCATTAAAAGATAAGTTTTTGGCACTTAAACATTTTTTAAATCCACGCATGTGAGGAGTCTTCAAAACATTCATGGAAAATATGTGTTAGGAAAAACTAAGCATGGATTTCAAAATTTTTGCACCAAAATAAACTTATCTTTGAATTCCATTGATCCACAGACACTTTGTGGTAGCCTCATAATATCTGTGGCTCTGCATTTGTCTCTCTTAAGGCCACATCGTTGGAGGCTGTATGTAGATCCTGTGTTAAACAGCAGCAAAGGCAACAGGTATGTCTCTCCTCTGTCATGGGTGCCTTGCCAAGCACTTTATAAACATTACAACAGTTAGTACTTAGCAGTTACCTGGAAGGTTGTTTATTTTATGCACCATTTTTCAGGTAAATACAATTAATCTCAAGAGGAAAAGATCTTTGCTTGAGGTTTCATAGGTGAGATATGTTGAAACCAAGATTCTCATCTGTGTCTGAGATTCAAACAAAAGTCTATACTTCGGGGGCTGGCGCATTGGCACAGCAGGTTAACGCCCTGGCCTGAAGCGTCGGCATCCCATATGGACGCTGGTTCAAGACCTGGCTGCTCCACTTCTTGTCCAGCTCTCTGCTGTGGCCTGGGAAAGCACTAGAAGATGGCCCGAGTCATCTTTAATAAATCTTTAAAAAAGAAATCTATACTTTGAATTGTGTATCAGAGATCTCAAAACTGTTGGGAAACATTTTTACAATAGAAAAGATTATCAACCTTTCTCAGATGAAAGATTTGCCTCACTCATAACAATATCTTGTACAAGTTCACTTATAGGATAATAGAGGTGCTGAGCCTGGCCTTGTAGGTTTTCCTGTATGCAATTAGTCTTACACATTTTCTATTGCTTAGTTATCCACGAGGACTTTTCTTTTTCATTTTTCAGCTTGTCAAGGTTTCTCTTTCTCTATTGGGAAATACAGCAGAGAGCTATCTCCCTGCATCTGTCCATCAAGCTAAAGGAATTGGTTAGAACTCTTGGAGGAAAATAAAGGACTTGTCTATTCCTACACACATTCTTACCTCCCTCCTGACCTTTGAGAGAACTGATACCATTGCCACATGCAAATGCATTTACTTCCTTAAACTCATGTTGATGTACAAATATATGAATGAATAAATAACAAAAAAGTAAGTAAATGATTGAAACTTCAGAATAGTTCCTTCCTTTTCATCCCAAAGCATGCAATCCTGCAAAAAACAAACCAAAAATGCCAGGGGATGACATTAATTCAGAGAAACTGCTGCATGATTCTTATACCCCTAGGACTGCAGACAAGGGAGGCTGATGCCACACACCTAACACCTAGAGCTCAGGTGGAACAGATTAGGAGTGAATGGGAAAATCAAAGTGGACATGACTCTCTATATGGAAGTTTCTTACAGTCTTTGTGCTGCTGTCATCTACTCTCAACCCAAAATATGTGGGCAGAGAAATCTCAGATCACACAAATGCTTTGGGACAAAATGGGGAAGAGTTGGTTCCAAACTCTGCATTGGAAACCTGTTTCAGGTTTTTTTACATGATTTACACATCTTACTTGTTTGCTTTCAACTTAACCATTCAATTTTTATAAAGGAATGAACTAGAGCACTCCATTAAATAAACTTGCTGTAAATTAAATGTATCATCAGGGTTATTCTAAAGACCGACATGTTCACCGACTTAGATACCCATCTATGTGTCTTGGCTAGAAACCTAGAAGGGAAAAGGGCACCACTCCCATGATGACTATGTAAATATGTGGGAAGCTTTTAGGGAAACTACAGGTGATAATAACCCGCTGCACTACCTCTGTCATTTCCTTTTCCTGTCAAGGGGAGAAAGAAGGAAACAGTATTGTAAAGGACAGGAGAGTGTGAAGAGTGCTTTCAGAAGAGAAGCAGTGCTGTTTGAGGGAGGAAAGCTACAAAGCTTGAAGCATGACCTCACTAAAAATGGGAGAACAAATATTCCCATCTATACTTGTTTCTCCTGTCACTTCCTGGGGCTCTGCAAGAAAAAAAAGGCCAAAGGAGGCAGGAGGGAAAGCAGCCAATTAATGTAACCCAAACAGATCAGCCTTCTGGAACAGAGACAGAGGTAGACAGAGAAGGGCAGAGAGTGAATCTGGATGAGTAAGCGAGATCGCTATCACACCATGCTTTGCACTTACATCCAGCAACCCAAATGTGCACCAAGAAACACTTATTGCCACGACAGTTGCTCTTATTCTGAACTATACAAAAATAAATTCCACCCCTCATCATACTCCTTTGCAGAATGATTATATACATTGCCACCCACTGCTTTTGTTTCAGATGTGACTGATTTTTGAGGTTGTACACTCTTGGAAGGACTCTCACGACTTCTAATTTCTTGGAAAGTCTGGTGTTGTGGAGGATCAAGCCCCTTCTGTTGAGGTCAGTCTAATGTGATTTGAAATAAAAACTCTGCATTCTTCTTTGCCATGAGGGGATAAATGAAATGTCAACGGATTTACGTTAAATTGGTCAAAGTCTTCTAAGTGAATGAAGTTGAGAAAACAGATTTTCAGATTTTACATATTGAGGTTTCAGTCTACATCCAGGACTTCCTTGCTTTATTCTTTTAACTTTCCTCTCTACGTCTCCCCTCTTAGGTTGCCAACAGCCACAGCCTGCTTCTTTTCTTTCTAAATTTGGGCATTACCTCCCTGGGTTAAGATAATTTTTGGAGACACAAGAATTCCTGTGGGGGAGGTTGATATTCTACATGAATGTGGCAGGAAATAATAATATCCTGCCTTTTATTTTGAGTCTCCCTATCGTCTCACTCCCTCTAAATCACTGTGTAATCAATCTGAAGCAGCAACATGCAACAGCATAAAAATTAGGAATGTTTGAAGAGGGAATTAGTCTACTCACTCATTATTCTTGATTAATAGAAAATTATCCTGCTAACATTTACTGTGCTATTCATTTGTTATTTGGAAGTGATTAGCCACAAATGGCAGTTAAGAACAAGCCAGTTTGTAGTTGCAGATACGGCTGTAATTATCTCCACAGTGTCGCATCCTTCCAACACACCTTCCTCACTTGAAAATGGCTCACACGCTTCCTTAAATAGCACCTCGTCTCCAATAACTCAGCCAGAGAGAGCAGTGGCCCTGCTTACTTCTTGTTCCTGAAGACCCCAAAAGTATGAGTTTGCTGAGCAATGCTGGGAGAGTCAGAACAGGGATGGCTCTGATTTTCCACCACCAGGCTTCCATCTACAGCTTTCCACACAGTCCTCACTCATTTACTTTCCTCCAAGACGCTCCTCAGGGCCCCGGTGCACATGGTGACCTAATGTCACTCTTTGCCTCTGTAATCTCTGACTTGTTCTCTAACTTTCTCCTTGGAGGAAAGAAAAACATCAGTCCTGGGCATTTCCTTTCTGTTCCCCAGGGTGCCCTGAGGATGACTAACATTCCCTCAGGCATTGCCAGGTTGTCCAGCCTGATTCTCCCAGCAAATTCTCTGTTCAGTGCATTTCACACCCTTAGAGAACCAGTCTCACCTGCTTGTTTCTCGTTAAAAAAAAAAAAAAAAAAAACAATTAATTTACCCTCAGGTTTTAACAGTAACTGAATCCTGGCTTGCTAATGTGTTGATCATTTTCGGAGGTTTGTCTTTTGCACACTCAAGGCCCTAGGGCAGCATTCTCAGCCCAAACCACTCCTTATCAGCATCTCAGATTTTTAGAACTCTCAAAGAATATGTGGGCTCAAAGTCAGAGTTTATTAAAAAAATAGGTAGGGGGAAATCTAAGAAATGACTCTTACTGGAATTTCAGTAATCAATAACAAGGTGGGGAGAGAAAACATTTTGTTGTTCAGCTGACAATGCAATGCCTTTAAATTTTTAGTTAATTTTTCCTACTATATGTCAAACCCCAAATTTTACCTCCTTTTACCAGACCATTTTCCAAACTTGTTTCAAAGAGAAATTCAGGACAAGGATGCTTTCCTGGATCCCTTTCTGAAACTCTGCATTAAAATCTGTAGGAATCTCTATTTTAATAAATTGTTGAGCCTGACACACACTCAAGTTGGAGAACAAGTCATTTACTGCCCTGAATGAATTCAAAGTCAGACCTACAAGTACTAAAAGCTCATTTGATTAGGGTTTATTTTTTTCCTTTCTTCATTATCTTACAATATACCCCAAATTGCATCTTTGACTTCTCTCAGAGGATATCTTTAAGATAACAAATAGGATACAATCAATGAATTGGTTGATATGACATTTGCATTGTTATGTATCCAGGTAGGTTTTATTCACTTCACCATTTAACTCAATATTCATCTACCACCACTTAGCATTTTGCGATGATTACTAAGAGACCCATGTCCCTCACAGGGCTTAGAGTCCAGCTGGAGAGTGATGGGAATGCAATTAACACAAGGCAGAAAGTAATGCATGCTAAAATCAAGATGCAAAACAAGCATACACACGACTATATTCTAAAAGGTCTCATCTGAGGGAGATAGCAGATGAGTTGAGCCTTGAAGAATGGACTGCTTTATAATAGGTAGGCGGGACACAGTTTATACCAACTCCTTGGATAATGCTGTTCTGTCTTCCTCAAGGGATTTTTACATTTTGGATATTTCTTATGAACTCTTACATACCCCTCACAGTCTTGCTCTAGCTTATTCTCCTTAAGAAATCTCCTTGCTTGCTTCAGGACTAAACTTTTTACCCCTTTCATTGTTCCTCTGCTTAACTTGTAACTGCCTCTATGCTTAAAGTATAATGTTCATCTCATTTGTATGGGTGATTTACTTACATAATGATATCACTAGATTGTTAACAACTTGGTAATATCAAACACGACTTACTCATCTTTGTCCAACACTTAGCAAACCATCTGGTATGCTGAAGGTACACACAATACATGTTTGTTGATTTAAGGTCTGTATTGCAGTGGTGAAGAGGGAAAATAATGTTTATATGCTGACTCCACAATTTGATAACTATGTGAAATCTGGTAAAGTTATTTAATCTGTCTCCATTTTCATACCAACAACATGGAAAGAAACAACCATTTTCAAATACTGAAAATTTGAAATTCAAAAATGCTTAATATCATTAACATTGAATTAAGGCAAAAATGATATAATACATGTAAAATGTATAGAAGAGTGGTGCATTATTAGTCTTCAGTGAATACCCCCTAATATTTAAATTAGTAAAACTGAATAGATCCTTCTTCCTTACACCATTCTCCATGGAACTGATAACATTGCACTGCTGGCAAGTAGATGTACTAGGAAAGAGGCTATCCCCGAATGCATCTGTGACACCTTATTTTAAAATAGAACTCCTATCCCCAACTCTTAAAGCCACTTATGGCATTGCCTCAAGTCATTTCATAGCATTAGGCATCTTATAGCTTTAGACACAGAGGTCCCAGGTATTGTCACACAGTGAATCAATGAATCAGCCCAAACCAGTCTCCAGATTTTCCACCTAATTCCCCTACTCAGGAAAGAAAGTTTTGCACAGCAGGACCTAAGAGTCAAACTATAAGGTCCCAAGCAGATAAAATCATAATATCAATTTCAACTTTTTAAACTAATAGATAGAGCTTCTCTAAGCCCGGAATATGGTGCAGGTTATGCTGTATTTCTTTGTCTACTGCCAGAGAAATGCCTAAGGCAGTGGCAGCCCCAATCAGTCCATGAGCATCAATCTCTAAACCAATGGTTCTCAACCTGGGGTAATCTTTTCCTTATTGGAGTGGGGCATCATTTGGTATTGTCTGGAGGCAGATTTGGTCATTACAGCTGGTGAATGTTATAGACATTTAATGGGTAGGGGCCAGGGTTGTTGTTCAACATCCCACTTCACAGCACAGCCCCTGAAAACAAATAGTGTGCTGTCCAAAATATCAGAAGTGCTAACATTAAGAAACTGCTCTAGAGTCAAGTTACCACCTGCACTTGGGTTTAAAGAAATGGTATGCATTTTATACATCCTGTGTGCTAGCTCAGCTTGGGGTAATAAAACACATGCGAGGAAAAGACTAAACAAAATGAAAAGCAAGGATGATACAGGTCAAAGAGGCCCACTTTTGACAGAGAGGTCTGTTTGCTGCACTGACTCTATTTGTATGTTTTAAGCTTTCACATCTCAGCAACCTCATTTACCACCTTTCTCTGGCAACAGATATGCTGGGTGGTCATTTGACTGTTGGTTTCAAGGATAATGATACCCAGCAAAAACACTGAGTCTTAAGAGCAGCTTTGTGGATTCTGTGGCCTGACCCACTGCCCTTTAATAAGACTAAGTTCCCTTTGTGACTCTCTGCTGGCGAGTTTTGGGGCACTGGCAGCAAAAGCCTAGTTTGATTCATCTTACCCTCCAGTTTTCTTTGAAATTGCACACATCACAGGGGAGGGTCCCAAGTGAGAAGAGAGGAAGCAGACATCAAATTGTATAAAATAATAAAGCAATTGAAGTCACCACTCATTTCTTTTGTGGCTGTCTCCCTGCAATATTTTTCATTTAGATTTCCATCTACAAAGCAAAATCATCTGATGATCTCTAAACTATTCCAACTTAACATGCATGCCACACTTTAGTAATTATTGGTCATGATTGCAAAGAAGCTATCATATCTTTTTATAGAGAAATGATTTCCGCCTTATAATCCCAAAACCAATGAGTTAACACTATGCGTGGACAAATTATTTGTGTTTGTGTATTAGCAGATGCTTCAAAGGAATGTGTTAAAAATAAAAGATGGAATGGTTTTTGCAGCTAAGAAACCCCCATCCTAAATTCATAATAATAAGGTTTTTCTAGTTTGAAAAATTTGTCCAACCCACAATGAGTTATTGCTTTTCAGAGATTTGTCTCTGGGATTTTGTTCTTAACAGATAAGTAAGAATATACAGTTTCATAAATGAATTCTGCTCTTCCTCTATCAAGGTATATCCTTCCATTGTGATAGTGCTCTATAATGCAACTTTATGACCACATGTGTGGAGTTTCAATTTGCAGAAACATTTGCAGATGTTTAAACACATTCTCTTCCTACACAATTTGTGTTTGGATTTATTTTTGCTTTATAGGGAGTAGTCTCAGTGGAAGAAGCATACTTAATGAATTCTGAATACTACTTAAAAAGTAATATTTCCCACTGCTAATGCATGTGTTTCATTTCATCCTGTCTTTTTGATCACAGGACCAAAAGTCTGTGCTATTGAGTATAGTTGAGAGACACATGCAAACCACCCTAGAGCACATCAATTAAAAAGACTGAAAAATTGTTAAAGCAATGGAAGCAAATTCTATGCCAATGTTTTTTGTTCAAAATACATACAAAGGATACCTTAACCATCTTTAATGTACTCTAAGAAGAAAAGGCCCGCTGACAATTAAAAGGGTCAATTTTAGATTGAGCCTATTAAATCATAGTCCATGCCACTCCTTCGCTGAAAATGATCCAGTGGTTCCCTAACACTGTCTAACTGAAACGGGAGAGCCAATCATGCCTGCAAAATTGGAAATAATTTGGCCTGCCATCTTCCTGACCTCATCACCTAATAACTCCTCTTCCCCACATACTCCAGGGCAGCCTCATGTGTAGGATCTTGCAGTTGAACTCTCTCTCTCCTTTGCCTGGAAAGCCCTTTTTCATCTCTGAAGATTGATTTCCTCACTTCACTTCACTCAGATACCATCACTGTGTTTCTTTCACCTGACTCTAATATTAACTTTTCCTCAAGGCTTATATCTAATATCATCTTTTCCCATTTGGCTTAACCAAAATTGACCCCTCCCAACTGTGATGCTTCCTACCATTTTATTTTTCTCTTACCAACTAAAACTACATACTATACCATTTAATTTCATCTTCTAGCTTTTATATTTCCTATTTCTGAGTATAAGTTTCATGAGAACCAAGATCTCTGTGAGTTTTTCTCACTGTTATATCCACAGTCCCTGCAATATTACCTAGAACCTAGAAGTTAATCAAGAATAATAGGATGAAAGAATCCAGATGCAAACATGATTCACAGAACTAAAATCAAGTTAATTTTGGATTTACATAGGACCCAGAGAGTTGCTGGGAACTTTGGAATCTTCTCTTTACTGGCTTATGGGGTCTCTTACAGAATTTTGCTGTGCAGTTTCATTTTCATTGATTCAATGTGATAACTGAGTTGCTTGACTTCAATTCCAGCCAAATATTCAACTAGAGTCTCTAAACCTCCACATGTCTGGAGGAGACAGCTGGATGGGCCAGCATGGGGATAAGGTCTTCTTCTGAATAATCAAGAGTAGTCAAAGAGAAGGCATCCAAGAGGGCACATCCGCGATGTGGGGAGGGGTTTCTTTCTTATATGTTGAGGTATTTTCCAAACTCACATTCATAACCTATCACCAATCTATAGGGAAAATAAAGAGAAGTGTAACAGGAAATGAAGATGACTGTACTCTGTGTTTAAATAAATAGAAACCTCTAATATTTGTTATGGCAAACAACCATCTGTGTAGTCAGTCTCTACTGGGTTACAGTTTGAAGGAATTGTGGTTTTTAATACAAATTCAGATGCCTTAGGATAGTGTTTTTAACCTTTTATCCATATGTCTTCTCCTTTAATATTCAAAATTTCATACATAAACCCTATGATATCACAATGACTGTATTAGCCATTGAAAGGGAAAATAAGTGACAAGAGATAGTACAAGTGAGTAACATTTTAAAATAACTTTGTATTACAGAAATCACAAGAGTACTTATGCAGTTTTTTAATGCAACAGCACATCAGAAAGATCATCCACCCAGGCCAAATGGGATTTATCCCTGGTATGCAGGGATGGTTCAATGTTCACAAATCAATCAATGTGATACACCACATTAACAGACTGCAGAAGAAAAATCACATAATTATCTCAATAGATGCAGAGAAAGCATTTGATAAAATACAACACCCTTTCATGATGAATACTCTAAGCAAACTGGGTATGGAAGGAACATTCCTCAATACAATCAAAGCAATCTATGAAAAACCCACGGCCAGCATCCTATTGAATGGGGAAAAGTTGGAAGCATTTCCACTGAGATCTGGTACCAGACAGGGATGCCCACTCTCATCACTGCTATTCAATATAGTTCTGGAAGTTTTAGCCAGAGCTATTAGGCAAAAAAAAAAAAGAAAGAAATTAGAGGGATACAAATTGGGAAGGAAGAACTCAAACTATCCCTCTTTGCAGATGATATGATTTTTTATTTAGGGGATCCAAAGAACTCTACTAAGAGACTATTGGAACTCATAGAAGAGTTTGGCAAAATAGCAGGATACAAAATCAATGCACAAAAATCAACAGCCTTTGTATACACAGGCAATGCCACGGCTGAGAAAGAACTTCTAAGATCAATCCCATTCACAATAGCTACAAAAACAATCAAATAAATACCTTGCAATAAACTTAACCAAGGATGTTAAAGATCTCTATGATAAGAACTACAAAACCTTAAAGAAAGAAATAGAAGGGGATACCAAAAAATGGAAAAATCTTCCATGTTCATGGATTGGAAGAATCAATACCATCAAAATGTCCATTCTCCCAAAAGCAATTTATAGATTCAATGTGATACCAACCAAAATACCAAAGACATTCTTCTCAGATCTGGAAAAAATGATGCTGAAATTCATATGGAGAGGCAGAAGACCTCAAATAGCTAAAGCAATTTTGTACAACAAAAACAAAGCCAGAGGCATCACAATACCAGATTTCAGGACATACTACAGGGCAGTTGTAATCAAAACAGTACTGTTTCTGTACTGGTACAGAAACAGATGGATAGACCAATGGAACAGAATAGAAACACCAGAAATCAATCCAAACATCTACAGCCAACTTATATTTGATCAAGGATCCAAAACCAATATCTGGAGTAAGGACAGTCTATTCAATAAATGGTGCTGGGAAAATTGGATTTCCATGTGCAGAAGCATGAAGCAAGACCCCTACCTTTCACCTTACATAAAAATCCACTCAACATGGGTTAAAGACTTAAATCTATGACCCAGCACCATCAAATCATTAGAGAACATTGGAGAAACCCTGCAAGATATAGGTACCAGCAAAGACTTCTTGGAAAAGACCCTGGAAGCACAGGCAGTCAAAGCAAAATTAACATTTGGGATTGCATCAAATTGAGAAGTTTCTGTACTGCAAAAGAAAACAGTCAGGAACGTGAAGAGGCAACCGACAGAATGGGAAAAAATATTTGCAAACTATGCAACAGATAAAGGATTAATAACCAGAATCTACAAAGAGATCAAGAAAATCTGCAACATCAAAACAAACCACCCACTTAAAAGATGGGCCAAGAACCTCAATAGACATTTATCAAAAGAGGAAATCCAAATGGCCAACAGACACATGAAAAAATGGTCAAGATCACTAGCAATCAGGGAAATGCAAATCAAAACGACAATGAGGTTTCACCTCACCCTGGTGAGAATGGCGCACAAAGAGAAATCTACCAACAACAGATGCTAGCAAGGACGTGGGGAAAAAAGGACACTAAGCCACTGTTGGTGGGAATGCAAACTGGTAAAGTCAGTCTGGAGATTGCTCAGAAACCTGAATATAACCCTACCATACAAGCCAACCATCCCACTCCTTGGAATTTACCCAAAGGAAATTAAATTGGCAAACAAAATGCTGTCTGCACCTTAATGTTTATTGCAGTTCAATTCACAATAGCTAAGACCTGGAACCAACCCAAATAACCATCAACAGTAGACTGGATAAAGAAATTATGGGACATGTACTCTATAGAATACTATACAGCAGTCAAAATCTATGAAATCCATTAATTTGCAACAAAATGGAGGAATCAAGAATACCTCATGCTGAGTGAATTAAGCCAGTCCCAAAGGGACAAATATCATATGTTCTCCCTGATTGGTGACAGCTAACCGAGCACCAAAAAGGAAACCTGTTGAAGTGAAATGGAGACTATGAGAAACAGTGACTTCATCAGCCCTTGTTCTGACTGTTGATGTACAATTGAATACTTTATTCCTTTTAGTATTTTTTTTTGCTCTAGTTAATACTATTGGTTGAACTCTGCAATTAACACCAGTTATTCTTAGGTGTTTAAATTGAACTGAAAAGTGATCCCCATTAAATATAAGAGTAGGAATAAGAGAGGGAGGAAATGTACAATTTGGGACATGCTCAATCAGACTTGCCCCAAATGGTGGTGTTAGAAATGTGCCAGGGGGTTCCAATACAATCCCATCAAGGTTGCATGTACCAATGCCATCTCACTAGTCCAAGTGATCAATATCAGTTCACAGTTGATCACATTGATAGGTCTAAGAGTCAAAGGGATCACATAAGACTAATGTCTGCTAATACTAACTGATAGAATCAAAAAGGGAGAGAACGATCCAACCTGGGAAGCTGGATACACAGCAGACTCATAGAATGGCAGATGTCCTAAACAGCACTCTGGCCTCAGAATCAGCCCTTAAGGCATTTGGATATGGCTGAAGACCCCTTGAGAGCATTTTAGGCATGGAAACCCAAGACACTCTGGCAAAAAACAAAACAAAACAAAAAAAAAAAAACAAAACAAAACAAAAAAAACCACCTAAATGAAAGATCTCTGTTAGTGAGATCCCAGTGGAAAAAATGGGCCATCAAAGAACTAGGTACCTTTCTCTGAAGGGAGGAGAGAACTTCCACTTTGACTATGACCTTGTCTAAATAAGATTGCAGTTGGTGAACTCAAAAGGCTTCCATAGCCTTGGCAACTCATTACTAGAGCCTAGGGAGATTACTGACACCATAAACAAGAGTGTCAATTTGTTAAGTTAACAACAGGAGTCACTGTGCGCTTACTCCTCATGTAGGATCTCTGTCCTTAGTGTGTTATTCAATGTCAATTAATGCTATAACTAGTACTCAAACAGTATTTCACTCTTTATGTTCTGTGTGGGTGCAAACTGATGAAATCTTTACTTAATATATACTAAATTGATTATCTGTATATAAAGGGAATTGAAAATGAATCTTGATGTGAATGGAAGGGGAGAGGGAGCGGGAGATGGGAGGGTTGCGGGTGGGAGGGAAGTTGTCGGGGAGAAAAAGTCATTGTAATCCATAAACTGTACTTTGGAAATTTTTATTTACTAAATTGTCGCTCCCCCTCTTCATGGAGGAATGACACTAAACCCTGCCTAGGCTTCGTATCCAAGTCACGGCACCATTATGTCGCTCCCCCTCCTCACAGAGGAACGACACAGGACCCTGCGCTGTTCTTTTGTCTGCTCGGCCCTCCCCGGGTTTGCTGCTGGTTCTTCCCGGGTTGGCTACCGACCCTTCCACCTCCGTGGAAGGGCAGTTCCCCCTGCCACTTTCCCCACTTCTGCGGGGGAGCGGCACACCGCCGGCCGGCTCTCTCGGGGGCTGCACAGGTGTTCCTTCAGATAGATGTTCCTGGTGCATGTTGTCTCTCTCCTCCTTTATAGTCCTCTTCCACCAATCCCAACTCTGCTACCCACACGCCGAGTACGCTGCTCTCCTCCAATCAGGAGCAGGATCAGCTCCTGCAGGTCATCACTCAAGTTGGCGAGAGGCAGCTGTGTAGAAGTTGTTACTCCCTTCTCAGCGCCATATTGTGGGAGAGCAGATGCATAGAATAAGTCTTAATTCCAGTAACAGTCTAGTCCGAGTTGCTCCCCACACTAAATAAAAGTTTAAAAATATAAAATAAGAACAGTACATTGATATGTTGTGAACTGAAATGGTGACTACAGAGGCCTAAGTCAGGAGGAGCCATTGGTGCTATGAAGATGCCCTGTAGCAACCACCCAGGTTAGGATGATAATTCAACAAACCTCAGCTGTGACCAAGGAAATATGAACCAGGGGCAAGAAACATAAGCCGTATCCAAGAAAACATTGACTACATGTTAAGAAAGAGTAAGCTTTGATTTAAGGACCTTATAGGAAGAAAGATTAGCAGATCCATCATTTGCTTCTCCCTGTGTTTACACAATATTGAATGTGGGGATGTAGTGCACCCCCTTCTTAATCAACAGTCACATCACATCTCTTACCAGGTGTTCCTTGACTGTCAATCAAGTAGTCTTTGATTTTCAATATGATTGAAAAGCACACAGACATTTGTGTTGTTTGAAATTGATTGAATGTATATACTCTGTAAGAGAAAATGTAAAACCTGCTAAAAAACTATTGTGGAATAGCCAACACAGGCAACTAACCAGTTGTTTCTGTGTTCACATCTTTAATTTGCCTAGTTGAATTAGCTTTCACTTTGATTCTCTAACCAGTTTATTTCAGTCAACAATGTGAGAGCTACCTCTTGTATCAGCACACCTAGTTTTTCACATTCTTAGAAGAGATCTGTCTCCAGGGACCACTGACAATGGTTGAGGCCCACCACAGATACACCCACTACATTCAGATCTTCCTTAACTAAGCTCATATACTCTTACATGGTTACTCCGCACTGAATATGATGCTGGTGGTGCACAAGATAGACATTGTCTCTGCCCACAGTGAACATACATGCTTAGACATCATTTGATAACCTATAATTAGGCCCTTGGGTAATAGAAATATCTGAGTTATTAATTACTGAATAGTGGGCTCTGTATTCATCTCATTTAACCACAAAAATGTTATGATGTGTGAACTATCACATCCCTCTGTTCTACAAAGAAAGTGGATTATAGAGTGTCCAATGATTTTGACAACATTTATAAAGCTCCAAAGTGCTATAGCCAGCACTTGGAGCTCCAATATTTAGAAGGAAAGCAGTTACATAAAGAAGATATTAAAATCAGATTCAGTAAGTTTTCTAACATTAGCTTTGACAAAGTTTCATGGAAATATAGAAAAGAGTAACAATCTGCTAGTTCTTTTACTATAAAAGGGCAAGAAAAGCCAAACTTTTGGAGAAAGAAGGGCACCTGTGTCTCAGTCCCGCCACCAACAACTTATTTGACTATCGACAATTTTTCAAGCTCTGAACTTTGTGGGTTTTAAATCATAAAAATGAAAACAATAATATACAGCTTTCCACATTTTGTACTTGTAAATACTTGATACATGAAAAATACCAAATATATGCTAAGTCCTATTATAGAATTACAGATCCTATGTATGGACGTGTTCAATAATCAGTATTTCCATTCTTTATATTTTTATGTCTTATTCACATCTGAATGTGTGAAGGTAATGATTGGAAATGAAGCCCTGGCATCTATTTCAGGAGCTGCTGGTACCAAGCACAATTCTGACTCATTTCTCTGTGTGGCCGTCTTTAGTTCACTGATCTCTATCAGTCATCAATATCACTTTGGCTGAGTGCCCTTGAGTCATAAGAAGTGAGGGGGTAATTTCAGGTCTTCGCTATTCTGTTGGCAACAAGAACCTTAATCGGCAATCAATGTGTGTAAGGCCATTTAGGAGAGAATGAATGGGCTGCCCATGACCAGCACTTGCTCATCCCTCCAGGTCGTGGAGAACCTGCTCTGAGAATATGGTGTTGGAGAATGTTTTATAGTTCTGAGTCACCTTCTGAAAGAACAGCTATGTTTTCACAGAATAGGCAAAACATTCTGCCCACTGTGACATTACCATCATTCCCAACTCTGCCATTTCTTACTTAAGGAGTATCAATTGAACTATGACGTGGTATTTAAAGAGGCCCTCATTGAAGTGTCCCCAAATCCTTGCACACCCTCACCTATTGGACTCAAGACAAACTTATCTCTCTTGAAGTTCCATGCATTGTGCTACAATGATTCCTAAAACCACAGTTGTTACATTAATAATGTGATTGTGCTAAGGGCTAGTAATGAACTAAAAAAAATAGTGAACTCTCCTCCCTTTTTAGTTACTAGAAGTCAGGTGTGATGTGTTAACTAAAGGTAGTTGTTTTGCACAAATCTAAATGATCGGTGCTAATGGTGAGAAATGCCAGGCTGGTGGAGGCGAGGAAGGGAGGAAGGCGCTGCCCCACCTTTCGCTGTCACCTGTAGGTACACACATCCTGTGCTGAGCTACTCCTGCTGCACACTCACCTTGGAAAGCTGGCCCACAGTTGTCTCCCTATCAGAAACACGTCTCCCTTCAAAGGTCAAGTAAGACAATGCCACTCCTAACAAGCCTTCGCCAACATCCAGTATGAATTAACTGCCTGCTCCTCACACCATGTTCAATACCACTGTTTTTTTTTTTATTCTTGAAGTTACAAATGAAAAAGAGGTTTCAAGCAGATAATAACTTGTGCAACATCACAGAATTAGCAAATGGGCATAGACATGGGGTCAAAACCCTTACCAACCATCTCAACTGTCATCTCCTTCTCCTCTGAGCCCCTGGAGATTTTTGTTTGTGCCTTTATTATAATAGCAACTGGATCAGCTTGCTTTGTACTATGGGAAAGTGTATACTCCACAGTCTGATTCCATAAATTTTAGACTCCCTGAACTTAAGGACAATGTCTTATTCATTATAGCACCCACAGCACTGACTTAATACCTGATAAGAATAATGTGCTCTATAAATTGCATCTGAATTATAGAAAACACATTAGGAGAAAGTGTGACCAAAACATCCTGAAGATGTTGCTTTTCATTTTTTCCACTTCCACCTGTGGGTCTGTGTGTGCATGTACTCATTTATGTGAGGTGTGATGAAAACTGATCAGCTTTAATTCACATTGAGGACCTACTATTTTGTCTCTTGTGAGAGGCAGGATGGTGTGAAACAGCAAACACATACACACACACACACACACACAGATGAGTGATGAAGTCACTGTTATTTTACACAGGAAAAACCACACTTCCTAAAATCTCTATGTGCTGGATCTATAGATCTCTCTAAGAACAAAGACAAAGGCTTCTGTAATATGCAGCCCTGACTACATCCCCTGCATATGTCATTCAGTGCCAATTGTACAGTAATGATTTTTAAGATTTCTCCACCTGGCTTTGGCTGTTAGATTTAAAAAAGTCATTTCTGCCCTGCCTCCAGTTGCTCTCAGTAATGGGTGGGAGTTTACGGGACTCTCAGCTTTTCTTTACCTTCAACAGGGAGGACGGTACAGAAAGGGTTTTCATGATCAAAGCAGTCCCCGATGCAGAATCAAGAGAATTGTGCCCTTTTTCCCAACTCAAAGAAAATATCCTAGAAAGGATGGCACTTGCCTTTCTTTAGTCTAAGTTACAAATCCGGAAACATCGACATTCAAACCCCAGCCAGACATCATCCAGCAATCTCTTCCTCAGATGCTGAATTCATACCAAAACATCCTTCAGCTGGGAAAGTTGGTCAAATGTGTTTTTAACATTATTATCTCCCCACTTGTCCCAAGAGCTCTCTGACTCTATGCTTAGAAAGTCTAGCAAATGGGCTGGAGTTTTGGCCCAGTGGGCTAAGCTAACACTTGCAATGCCAGCATCCCATCTAGGAGTGCCAGTTCAAGTTCTGGCTGCTTCACTTCTCATCCAGCTCATTGCTAATTCACCTGGGGAAGCAGAAGATGGGTGAAGTACTTGGAGCCCTAGCACCCACATGAGCAACCAGGATGGAATTCCATGTTCCTGTTTTTAGTCTGCCCAGCCTTGACCATTGCAGTCTTTTGAGGAGTGAACCAGTAGATTAAATATTTCTTCTCTCTCTCCCTCTTCCTCTTTCTCTGTCACTCTAGCTTTCAATAAAATAAATCTTTTTTAAAAAGTTTAACACTATGGTTAGCATATCATGAGTGCCCAGAACAGATGTGGCCACACTTCATTTCTTTTAGCATGTAAAGAAGTACACCAAATGTTTGCCACCTTCAAGAGACAGTACGCTGTATCTTTCCAATCAGGACCCACATATCTTTAACTCACATGTATCACAGGATAATAAGCAACAGAAAGATTGTTCAGTGTATACGATGTGGATTCAGAAGACAACTTGGACAAAATCCTAGCTGTGCAGTGGGTTAAGTATAATATGAGACAACTTACCTGACTTTCCAGAGTCAGGGTTTACATAATGTG